GGGGAAGAAAAGAGGAAAATTGGAAGAAAACCATGAGGCTAGAGGGAACCTGTATGCTTTGATAAAATATAGCACTATCAGGTAAGTATATATTTAAATATTATGGTGACACGCGAATGAGGTACGAACCTCATATTATATTCATACACATGTCAAGGAAGGAAGTAGAAGAAAAATTGAAATTTTAAAGGTGATGGAAGGACTCAATAAAAATAATGAGAACTTAGGAGGGCTAAATGGTGATTTTTCGATTTAGTTTGGTCAAAGCTTACAAAGGAAGCTTGACCTTTCTTTCTCTCATTATTTTCCCACATGGCTGGTCATGCATGTGATGTTTGTGGGAAAAATTGGTATAGGTAGGGAAGGAAAGGATGGGGAAAGAATTAAAGGGGAAAAAGACAAAAAACTTACCTATGTTGACTAACCAAAATTATCTTCAAACTTCTTGAATTTTCTCATTTCTTCCATCCTTTGGCCGGCCAAAAAAGGAGAGAATTTTCTTTTTTTTTTTCTTCTTGATATGATGAAAACTAGAACCTTCCTTTTCGTTAGTCATTAAGCCTTTTTCTTCTTTCTTTCTTTCACCACCGTCACTTTCTTCTTGTGAAGGATTTCTTCCTCCTAAACCGCACCCATCACCATAACCAGCAGGCCTCAAGCTCTTCTCTCCATTTCTTCCCTTGTTTCTTCCCTTTTATCCTTCCTCTACATGAAGTTCTTTCCTTTTCCTTCCCCATAGCTGAAATTGAGGTGGATTGGTGAGTTGATTCAAGAGTTCGAAGGTAAGAAAGTAGAAATTTGTTAGTTGGTTGAAGATGTGTTTGTAAATTGATTTTTTAAGGTGTGGTTTAATTGTGGCAGCAAAGGAAATTTAGGTGTGAGAACTGGTGTCTTGGAGTGGGGAAAATCCAGCAAAAATCAGGAACTATATACTTGAATTGGTAGCAAATTAGCATCCCAAAATTTTAAGGTGAGTAGGGGGTGTCCAATTCAAAATATCCTATAAATTCGTATGTATGTACATATGTATTTGTGAATGTAAAATGATTTATTTTCAATGCAAATTGTGGAAAGCATGAGCTGGTAGTGATTTTAGGAGTTTGTGAATGCCAAATGTTTTAAAATGGGCTTGACTATACATATATATATATATGGTTTACATACTTAAAGGATTTAAAAATCGAGAAGCATGCTTTTTGATGTTTTGATGTCAAAAGTGTGCCTTGTGAATTTTGTGAACTGCATTCATGAATAATTTCTTATTCACCATTTGGATTAGGCATTTAACCCTATGGAAAAAGATTTACATAGCAAGGGGATACAAAAGAGGTTTTAGAAGGTTACCATGA